GTGTATGGGGGGGACTGGGAGGGGGTTACAGCCTAATTTCTGTTTCCCATCAGGGCGGCCGCCCCCTGCCCCCCACAGCCCCGGGGACCCCCTGCCCCTCACAGGTGTTGTAGGCCTTCTTGTGGGACAGGATCTCCACCACCTCCTTCTTCCTGAAGGGCTCGGGCCTGGGCACGGGCTCTGGGAGGGAAATGGTGGTTGAGCAAGGGAGGCAGGCAAGGCTGCTGTGAGAGGACCCGGGGGGGGGGGGGGGGGGGGGCCTGGCCACCCCCACAGCCCAGGCGCCCCCTTTCCGTGGCCGAGACTGAATCAGCTCTGGGTGTCCACAGGCCCCACTCGTGCACTCTCTCGGGCCCAGCCTAGCACTCAGCATGCACGGCGCGTCCCTCCCCGTCCTCTCTCTCCGGCTGGCGGGACTGAGCTGCCCAGGTGAGGGGACCAACCCCTCTGGGCCTTGCAGATGCCTCCTGGGTGGACACGGCCTTTCTCTTACATCCGGGGACCACTGTCCACACAGGATCCCTGGCTGCCTGCAGCCCCCCCACCCCCAAATACAGGGAGGGACACAGAGGGCGAGGGGAGGGGCCTGGAAGGGCATGGTGGATGCCTCCTGTCAGCCTCCTTCGGGCTGTGACTGAGGTCACCCAGCCGCCCTGTGCTTTCTCATCAGGAAGTCATCAGTGTCTCGGGTTGGATTTGAGATGAGGGGGCAGGTGTCTGGCGTGCAGTAACTATGCCATAAACGCCAGCTGTCAGTCTCTCCGTCCTGAGCCGGGGAACTGAGCTCTGAGGCCTTAACTCAGGGACACAGTGAGTGAGTGGACGTCAGCGCAGCCCTCGGGGGCTCAGAGCCCTGGGCTGTCCCCGAGGGCAGTGGGTGGGATGCCACAGCGACCCTGGGATGGAGGTCCCCCGGGGCCCTCAGGCCACTCACTAGCCGGTTTCTGGGTGCCAAAGTGGAGCTCCAGGTCGAGGTATTTCACCATGTCACTCAGCTTATCATAGTCAGAGTCCTCCCCCAACTGCAAGGGAGGGCCGGCTCGCGGTGAGGAGGAGCCCAGCAGCTGGGCTGCCACCCCCCCTTACCCCCGCCCACCGCAGGGAGAGCCCCCCTCGGGCGCTGGGATAAACCCAGGGCGGCCTGCAGAGAAGCCACATCACCCGGCTCTCAGGTGCGAGCCGCTCCTCTGCTGGCCAATCACACGCTCGCCTGGAACCCCCAGCAGAGGCCAGCCCTGTGTGGGGCGGGGCTGCAGGGCTGCAAAGGGGCTGGAGCCCCCAGGGGGCCTTCGAGGTGCCCGAGGGATCTGGCCCTGCTTTGAGGTGTCCTTTGCAGGGAGTGAGCTGCCCCGTGTTCCTGATGCCGGGAAACGGAGCCAGGGAAATGCGGGGGGGGGGGGGGGGGCTAGACGCTGGACAGGGCCTCATCCTCAATGCTGCTGCCCAGGCCACCCCCCTGCGCAGGGCCCCGGGCCTCAGGCTGCCTACCTGACCCCAGATGGTGCCCTCCGAGTTCTCCACCTGCTCCCACCGAAGGCGCTTGACGCTCATGCGGCGGTGGC